AATTGAATATATATAAATATATTAAATGCGATACGTACGTTGTTTGGGTCTTTGTCTAAACATAAAGCGACAAATTCTTTAAACGGTTTAGAATATAGGCTATCCTCTAAAGAAGGTGGAGGATCTTTAGGAATAAGAAAAAGAACTTTCATTGGATGAAGATCCGCGTAAGGAGGTTCGCCATTTGCAAGTTCGATTGCAGTTATTCCCAGAGACCAGATGTCAGCCTAATATAATAATAAAGATTATCATAGCATCTATGAAATTTATGAAATAATTAATAGAGTTTCAATATTTACCTTAAAATCATACCCTGATTGTTTAATGACTTCTGGTGCCATCCAAAACTATTGTATAATATTTATAAGCCACAAATATATTATTAAAGATTATCAATGGGCTAAATTCTTACCGGTGTTCCAACGAAAGTATTCTTTTTTGTCAAAGTTGCAGTGATCTGCGATTAAGATTTATATTAGAGATACATTATCATAGAAAATGTCAAGTAAACGGAATAGAATGATAATACTAACCTGTCCAGAAACTCCAAAATCTGCTAGCTTTACTACGAATCAGAATTAGACAAATTTTGATAGAAAATGTGCGGATGTTATACGTATAATTTAAATGAAATTTTTATCAATATTTGTCAAATGCAAAAACCATTTATACCATCTCCAGTAGAACTTAAAAGAATATTTGCCGCTATAAAGTGATATCAACTCAGTAATCAAATAATATTCGTTTTTATAATAAAAAATCCTAATGTTGTTGCTTTAAAATTATTTCCAACCTTTTATATCTATAAAAAAAAAAAAAGCTTGATGAGAACATAACTTAAAATTTAAAGCAATTTCTATAATGAGAAAATTAAACCTCTGTGAAGTTTGTGTTCAGAATGAAGGTAGTCCAACCCTTTTAACAATTCCCGTAATATGATTGCTACGTATTCTTCTCTTAAAGCACCAGGTTTCATCTTTATTAATAAAGTAAATATACATAAAAAGAATTATACGTAAGATAATTAACGTTAGTATTACAGAAATTGGAAACTTACTAAATCTGAACAAGATCCTCCAGAACAATATTCCATAATAATCCATAAATGGGTGCCTTTGAGATAAGAACCGTAATATCTTATTATATATAATAGAACACTTTTAATGCACTAGCTAAATAAAAAAAATGACCACTACGTAAATGAGATTACAATAAATATTATATACCTGGTGACATACTGTGAATCCAATTGCGAAAGAATGTTTATTTCTTGTTGAATATCTTCAATTTCATCTTCAGCAAGTTCAAGATCAATTATCTTGATTGCTACCGCTTTTTTGGTTTTCTTATCAAAACTAATGTGATAAAATAATATATATTTATATAACGACAAAACGATGCAAAAAAGCACTTTCTAACAACAACCATAAACTTTTTTAAGTTTGAATATATGACTAGTAAAGAAACAATTTGAAGAATCCCGGATTATGGTGATTTGAAATTATCACGAGACGCAGTTAATGTCTTACCCTTTGAATACTTCACCAAAAGATCCTTTTCCTATTATCGTTATGCACCATTGTTTTAAAACAGCAGGAAAAAATGTTGGCATTGGAAATGCATAAATGATTTCAAGGAATGATCAAAATTGTGACTAATATCAGTTTACCTATCCTATCTTGTTTCACATAGTAGTCCTCAGGATCTGCCTGAACTGAGGAACTCTTTCAAATTATGTAAAACAAATTCATTGTAATGCGAAGAAATGTATAATTCTCGATTAGAATTTCATAAATAAAGTTTACTATTACTATTTAAAAAATCAATAAATCCATACCATCACGAGTTATCAAGCGCAAATTATATCAAAAGTCAGAACAAAGAACTAGAGATTTTCAGGAAAGAGAGTAGATAATCCTTGTCTTCAGTTGACGCGTGAAGGTATAAATATTAAAAGAAAATCTTTAACCTACATATTGCAAGATTAAATTTGGGAGCAATACAGATTCTCGTTTTGTACCACTGGTTTTATAAAAAAAAAAATACAAATTAGTTTCTTTTAGGATTAGCAATGTTTGCTCAAAGATGATCAAGATTCTACAACCTGCAACAGAAAATCTTTAAAATGAAGGAAAAAAAACTATCCACAGTTCATTTAAAGCAAAAGGAGAAATTTATCGAGCGTAAAATGAACATGGTCCTCTATAAAATATTTAATTTGTTAAATGCATCCTTTGTAACATTGTCACAATGTTTTTTTAATGTACATACGTATGTAAATTGCAAGAAAAAAACCTAGCTATACGTACACATGTGCATAACGAAACTTTATCATTGGCCTTGTCAGTAGCACAGTATTATAAAAATGCGTACATAATGTATATGCATACGTATGTCCACCTTTCTCCCTTTATACGTAGTTAAGTTACTGTCTTTTTAAACATATATTCTGTGTAATTAATAAATCATTAATTTTTTTTTTAATGAAATATCCTTAATGATAGTTTTTTTTGATTTTACTAAGGATTAATAAATTAATTTGTAATAAATTTCATCAATATTCAGAATCAAATAAAATAGGAAATTAAATTAATTTCCTGATAAAAAATAAATAAGGATATCATGCCATAGATATTAACATACTTAAATACTTGTTAACAATTTTTATGGTAAATAAAATAATATTTAGAAGTGCACACATAGTTAGAATGAAGAACAAGAATAACTCTAGCATGATCCATAAAAAAAGTGCCGATGATGTTTCGTTGAAATCACATGAAAACTTTTGCTAACAAAATGACCTATGTAAATCATAGTCCCGAGGGTTTCGCGCTTTTCAAATTAGTATCACTCTGAGAATTTGCAAAATTCCAAATTTTAGCACTTTTTTTGTAATTATTTTGCTTGACCAATACAAATTTTCAAAATTTCCAAAATTTCCCTTTTTCATTTTTCAATATTGTATCTAGTAATACACAATAATTGTCTGTAGATTTTCCCAAATAATATTGGGAATTTCAGACCTTTTTTTTTTGAATAATAATCACAAAACAACTTCTATAAAATCATAATTAGGTATCTATATTTAATTATAAAAAGGTTTGAAATTCTATGAAATCCTAAACATCGAAATTGACCATGTTGATATTGAGAAATCTTCATTCAAGTTTGAAAAAATATATCCACTATTAGAAATTTGATATATTTTTAAAAAATAAATTTCGATTTTTCGATTTTTTTTTCTTATAAAAGTAAAATATATAATATACGCATTCAAACAATAAATATATATACACGTCACTCTCAATATAACGGACTCTTAATATAACGGAGACTAAGTGAAATCTTGATATAGATCAAGATTCAGAACTACATCATACTTGATTTACTATTAAAACTCACGATAAAGCGGATTTTAAAAAATTCCTCACTATGTGCCCGAGGTACTACATTATATCGAGAGTGACGTGTATATATATATTTCAGAAAAAATTAAATCAATGTATTCTTAAAAGTTCTGCAATATATTTCTAATTAAGTTAATTGAATTTGAATTTTTTAATTTTTTTTTTTTACATAAATTTATTATAGAATATGGCAGGTAATTTATTTGTAATATTATACGCAAAATTAATACTTCAAACTAAACCTATAAATTACTCTTTGAGTTTTAATATTGTTCTGTCTTCATAAGATTTCATAAATCGTGGCTATATTATTTACTATAATGGGTTTTTCTTTGATTTTAAATAAAATAACTGCGATTCTTCCAGCCTCGTTGCAAATTAGTACAACTTTCGTGAAAAAATTATTACTTATACCGTTCACTAAATTTATTTTCATACAAATTAAAAAATTACAAATTTAAACGTAACAGATCTTTAGGGCGATAATAATAATAATAATAAGGGGAGTCGTTAAAAGTCCTGAAGATCTAAATCCCGATGGTACTATATCCCGAAGCTCAAAATCTCGAAAAAGCAATATTTCGACAATCCATTAATTCGAAAACCAAATCTCGAAAATATCATAATCCCGAATATAATAATCCCGAATATAATAATCTCGAATGTAATAATCTCGAATGTAATAATTAGTATTATTCTTATTATTAACATGAGGCTGATTACGATTAAATTGAAATATTTTAAAATGTATATTTATATTCAACTACTCGCAACCCAAAAGTTGGTCCAACTAAATTAATTGCTTATTCTGATCATTAATTCGAGATATTCGAGATTATTATATTCTGGATGGACATTTTTTTTGGTTTCGAATTAATGAATTGTCAAAATATTGCTTTTTCAAGATTTTGAGCTTCGGGAAATAGTATCATCGGGGATTTAGATCATCGAGATTTCGTACCAAACCTTAATAATAATAATAACTGGGTATAAAATTAAATGATGCCATTTTTGGCCAAACACAAGCATATCTATATTAAAAAAAATTACTAAACCGCACCTATAGTGTTTTACCACATTATATTTTTTTATAGATTTTTTGTTTTTTATATAAATTTTTAATACAAATTTTCTATGTTAGGACTAATATTTAGAATTAGATTTAAAGTTTGGGAAGGGTTTTTGGTGGCGTAAAGCGTTTTTACTTAAAATACCTCATACCGATTAATTGGCCAGTTTTTGAGACAATACAACATAGGTTGTAAAACACCATAGGTGCGTTTTAGTATAAGTGTTCAAAAAAAATATATGTGTGCGTAACGGGGATCGTCTAAAGTGGAAATAAATCATGTGACCATCTGCCAATCAAATTAGAGTTTTGAGCGAAGCAATACAAGAAAAATGAAAAACCTAAAAAAAATACAAAAAACGGCAGTCTAAACCAACCGTGGGTGGATTAAGCAAAAGTGTCGGGAGGCAATTTTGCATATATATAACGACCTAAAACCTATCCTAACCCTAATCTAAGATGACCTTAACTCTAAAGTTAATTCAATAAATATCCAGAGTTTATAGATAACGGTCTCTGCAATATTCACATAAGTTTGTAACGTTTATTATATACAATATATCCCGTCGTATGTATACATGCCGGACAAACGTTTGGGATTTGGGATTTTTCCATGGACAAACCTGGAAAAATGGGATTGTTCAATCATATCTAAAAATCCTATATGTCAAAACTGGACAAATCTCAATCCCAAGTCCCAAATCTTATATAGTATATATAGTATATAGTATTTATATAGTTGCTATACTTTTTTATTTATAT